AAGCAAACATACAAGCAAGCACAAAAGCAAACTTACACGTCGTTTGCAATCAGCGTCCAGCTCTGAGTGATTTTCCTTCCGGCGATTCTATGTACAAGTTATTAGATTGGGACCGCTTTTTGTCAAAGTCTGAAGCACAAAGTCTTCAATGGCAAGCCGCACCAAGTACAGACAATTGCATGAAGTCTTTTTCTGATTATGCCCAATCCATGTGTCGTTCTTTGGGTCGTAGGGTCTCTTCTGTTATCCTTGGCAAGGGAATAGAAGCAGAGCCACTTGCCTGTAGGTAACAGCGGCATTGTTCCGTTGTTCCGCATGTTTCTGCCAGAAAAGAATAGTTTAAAAATTTTGCTTTGAATTTTGAATTGCGCTGTGTCATACGATACCGTTCTAGTGGAATTGCCTTTTGGAACATTGCAGGTGGCGGGGGCAAAAGCCCAAATCTTCTTTTGCGTTGACAAAGGCAAGGCAACAGCTGAAGCAATTTCTAGCCGGGTCAGCCGAAAACAGTTAAAGTTGATGCAGCGGCCTGCCACTAGTTGATGCATGCAAGCCTTGATGCAATCATTCAATTTGTTTTTTTTCCTATTCTATTCAACAAGTAGCTCGCGGCTGCGAACGTTGAATTTTCATTGTGGCCTTTTGTTCCTAAGCCCGTTTGTTCGATTGGGATTATGTCTGAACTTGTCAAATTCTTCACGTACTTCTTTTCACGAATTTTGTTGCTGAGTCAGCGGCACAGTCGCCAGGTTTTCCCAAATGCATGTTTTTGTCTGCAGCCGCATCATTTCAAGCCTTCGAAAGGCATCTTTGATATCTTTGCTCGTCGAATATCCCTTAAGCCGCTTGTAGCACCTGATAACATGCCATCTTCGGAGCAAGAATTCTTCATTGCCGACTGGGAGCGTTGGCTGCGGAGTGCGGCCGATGCCGAGGCTTTGCTGAAGGAGATTCCGCTCGTCTTCTGGCGGAAGGACTTATTCTTTGGCATCCTGGTTGAGAACTGCGGCGCTGAGGTGGGTCGCGTGACGGTGCAATGGCGCACTGGGCCGCGGGTCTATCACGTGTGGAAATTTCGCGGGCAGGCGGTCATCTTCAAGGAAGAGAGCCCGCCGACCGTGATCGTGGTGGTGCAGTTGGCTGTGGAAGGGTCAAACATCAGGTGCGACTTCGCGCGCATGAGCGGCGAGCCGCTCGCGGAAGCGACTTTCAATGAAGCCGTGAGGCCTCTTTTGATGGGTCATGTGAGCATGGTGGCGTATCGGGCAGCCAGCGACGCAAACTTGATCGAGAGCCTTTACCAGGAGGTCCAGGTATTGCTGGAGAGCTTTCACCGAGTCGTCCCGGACGGAGTCGTTTTGTGTCAGGCCTGGGGCAATTCAGCCGGCGAGGCGGCGGAGACGCTGGATGCTTCGCTTCATCGTTTACAACGGTTATCCACCCGGCAGTTATGCCGACTTGATTTGCACACCCTGCCGGAATTTCTCCAAAGAAATTTGAATTTCATGCGGAGCTTACCAACAGATTTGCGAATGCAGCAGTGGTTCCGCTACGTTTATGGTCAAGAATTTGCGCTAGAGGACTGAGCTAGAGTCGGAGTCGCTGATATAGAGCAAATTCATTGCCTTCACCGATAGCAGGCGATGAATGAAACGGGTTCAGGCCCTTTTCCTTTCAAACAACAGTGGTGGCCTGAGCCGTGGCGTCAGCAAGGTACAGAGCTGGCCCTCGACATAGTTCGTGTTTTTCATGCAGCCTTGAATGAACGTCGAGAAAGCCCGGAAGCACAGGCCGGCTTGCAGGAGTGATGAGCGGCGCAATGCCAACGATGTGAAAGAAAGCATCTGAGCGCTCTGGGACGAGCTCTTGTGTAGCCAAAAGTGTAGCTACGTTGTTGTCTACTTCGTTGCATTCATACCCTGGTTTGGTGTTTTTCTGTTCTACATTCGTATTCAGGAATTTTTCTATACTTTTAGCAATCTGATAAATACCAAACAAATCATGTTGCTTGGTGAGCGTCATGTAGTAGCAGGCGCCATGTAGTTCCTTGCGGAGCAGCCCAACCATGGGAATCGCACAGGCACGGGGGAGCTGCCAGTTGCAACGGGTTATCGTGTAGAATTGAAATGTGTCGGGCGCAGGGAAAACGTCGCTGCGAGCGACCTGTGATTATACCTTTTCTGATGTAGATCTAGCAGGCGGAGGTTTGCATATAGCAGCCGTCGTTTGTCTTGGTTGGGTTCGGTTGCCATGTTAAGCCTTGACAGGAGGGATGTGCAGCGTGCTGCTGCTGAAGCGTGCTGCCAGCTTTGAGAAGGCGTGGTGCGGATCCAAAATTCACGACCAAACCGCGTCTTGATCGAAGGTCAGGACGTAAAGCATGTTAATCGATTAATTTCATGCGGAATGTCTTTCAAGTGTTAAAGCTTTCAGCATGCCGGTCACTAAAGCACTGATCAGAATAAGACATCAGAAAAGGGGGCCGCTATGACGAATAAAGATTGGTTTCCCTTGCTACACGAGAAATTCAGAATTTAATGGCAGATTTACTTCGCGCAGAATTTGACGAAACAACCTTCGTATTATATTTCTTTGCATGCCGGCACGGCCTTTTATTACAAAGGGCGGTGAGAGACATTGCACCTCGTTGCTTCATGTCTGTCTCGGAACAAGGCCATCGTGTTTTCTGAGCCCGTGGTGATTCGTTTTCCTGTCGGGCATGGCGTCGTCGGAGCTTGAGTTTTTCGTTGCGGAGTGGTGCGCATGGCCGGAGGCCTTGGCGGAGCAGTTGGCTTTCATCAGCTGCGTCCCTTTTCTTTTTTGGGAGCGAAATCCGGACTGCATTGCCGAAGTCCTGCTTGGCGGTCAGGAAGTCAAGCGCGTGACGCTCGAGGGTGCTGTTGGGCATCGGTCTTTTCGCGTTTGGAAATATGCTTCTTTCCTGGTCATCTGCAAGGAGGAAAATCCGTCCACCTTGGTCCTCACCGCGAGCTTAGAGGTCGTCGCGAACGACGTGGTTTGTAGCTTTTGTCGCTTGAGCGGCGAAGCCCTGGACGCAGTGGTATTTCCGAGCGAACGATTCATATCATCCGACCGCACTTTGCACATGGGCGATGTGACCTTGGCAGCATACCGACTTGCTTTCTTTGAAAATTTGGTTGAAAGTGTTTACCAAGAGGTCCACGTTCTATTGAACGGTTTTCAAGCAGTCGTGCCCGATGGCGTGGTTGTGTGGCCGCCGCCCGGACGATCGCTGGAATTGAGTGCGGGCACGCTTGGTGATGCATTGAGCGCTTTGCAGCAGCTTTCTGCTTTCCACTTACAAACGCTGGATGTCTGCAGAGAGCCTGGATTCCTGCGCCGTTTTTGGCCCGAAATACGGCGGGCAGCGCCAAGCGAGAGACTAGAGCTCTGGCAGCACTGGGAGGACAGCAGCTTTGGGAGCAAGGGTTGAACAGGTAGCTGTTTGTCTGATGGCACACCGATGTCATGTCTAGCACGGCTGCTGTGTCCAAAGAGAAAAGGCTAGGACCGTCGGCTGCTTCATCCCTCGCAAGAAGCAAAGCTTGGACAGATGTGGAGGGAGTGCAACTGCGAAGCACAGAGCAGTAAGCTGCATGGAAAAGGCGCGTGGTGCCGTGAAAACATCAACTTGCCGAGGTAGTGCCTAGCCAAGAGACTCTTTCCTTTTCCCCTGGAACACTACAGATACTATATATATATATATATATATTTCGCCACTTTTGCATGCGGCAGTCCTTGGGTTGTCAGTGTGCGCAGCATAGAGAATCTAGTATTATCACGTAGCTTGTTTCATGCTTTGCTTGAACCGTCTGCAATGTGAATATTCTTGAAGCTGTGTCAGATTGAGTGGGTACGCGCTGCAAGTTTGGTGCATGACTTGGGCAAGTTGATTCGGGCACATATTGCTGTCGTGATTTGTTTGAGTACGTCTCCTCTCCTGTAGCATAGAGGTGGATTTCATGTACTTTTCCCTAGCAAAACAATGGCGAAGCAGGACCATGAAAACATATTGAAGTGAAACATTTCAATCGACAGATTTCAGCCAAAGTTCCCTTCCACTGGCTGTGACCATCCATGTTCATTCGACCTGACGTTCAATCATTGCTAAGATGAAGAATTGGGAAGAACATCAGAAGATGAGGGCGGCACGTCGAATAGGGTTTTACCTTTGCAGCCATGAGCGGCATCTCTACTTTTCAATGACAGATTGTTTCCAAAAGGAATTTTGGGGAAACAAACTTATTCATCAAAGGCTTAACCAAGACACCATTAGGGCATATTCCGCGGACAAGGGCAATGGGTTCTCCAAGTTTTCTGTTATTTGGGTCTCTTTTCTTCTCTCTTTTCTTCTTCCTTTTCTTCTCTCTTTTCTTCTCTCTTTTCTTCTTTCTTTTCTTCTTTCTTTTCTTCTCTCTTTTCTTCTTTCTTTTCTTCTCTCTTTTCTTCTCTCTTTTCTTCTTTCTTTTCTTCTCTCTTTTCTTCTTTCTTTTCTTCTCTCTCTTCTTCTCTCTTTTCTTCTCTCCTTTCTTCTCTCTTTTCTCCTCTCCTTTCTTTTGTTTTTCCTTCTGTCTTTTCTTCTTCCTTTTCTTCTATCTTTTTTTCTCTCTTTTCTTCTTTCTTTTCTTCTCTCTTTTCTTCTCCCTTTTCTTCTTTCTTTTCTTCTCTCTTTTCTTCTTCCTTTTCTTCTTTCTTTTCTTCTCTCTTTTCTTCTCTCTTTTCTTCTTTCTTTTCTTCTCTCTTTTCTTATTTCTTTTCTTCTTTCTTTTCTTCTCTCTCTTCTTCTCTCTTTTCTTCTCTCCTTTCTTTTGTCTTTCCTTCTCTCTTTTCTTCTTTCTTTTTCTCTCTTTTCTCTTTTCTCTTCTCTCTCTCTCTCTTTCTCTCTCTCTCTCTATCGTTCTCTCCGTCTTTATCCTTCTCTCTCTCTCTCTCTTTCTCCTTCTCCTTCTCCTTCTCCTTCTGCTTCTCCTTCTCCTTCTTCTTCTCCTTCTCTTTCTCCTTCTCCTTCTCCTTCTCCTTTTCCTTCTCCTCCTCTTTTTCTCTCTTTCTCTCTCCCTCCCTCTTTCTCTCTCTTTTTCTTTTTCGGTTTGGATCTCCGTCTCTGTCTCCATCTTTCTCTTTCTCTCTCTTTCTCTCCCTCTTTGTCCTTCTATTTCTCTTTCTCTCTTTTCTTTTCCTTTTCCTTTTCCGTTTTCTTCTCCTTCTCCTTCTCCTTCTCCTTGTCCTTCTCCCTCTCCTTCTCCTTCTCCTTCTCCGTCTCCTTCTCCTTCTCTCTCTCTCTCTCTGTCTCTATCTCTCTCTCTCTCTCTCTCCCTCTCTCTCTCTCTCACGGATAGAATGCTTTCTCTCGCATTCTCTTTCTAGCAGATAGAATGAAGGGGAGCAGGAGGGGGGAGACCTGCAAGGAGAAAGAACCGAAGATATGGAAGGAAGAACGCGTTGGAGAGAAAGAACATAGGGAAAGAAAGCCTGTATGACATGGGACCAAGGGCGGGTGGGGTGAACCGATGATGGTATATCTCGCACTGTGCGTGTCTTGAACCCTAAACCCTAAACCTTAAATGACACCCTAAATGAAAGCCTAAAGAACCCTCAAGAGACCTACATGAACGTTTGAAGTACCAAAATGTAGCAAATACCATGCAAAATGACAGGTTCGTGTTCCAAACTGTTGCAAATACAAGGCAAATGGTACCAGGAAAGAAAGCCAAAAACAATCCAAAACCTGACGCAATACTATATATATACTATATATACTATATACACTATATACACTATATATACTATATATACTATATATACTATATATACTATATATACTATATATACTATATATACTATATATACTATATATACTATATATAGTATATATACTATATATACTATATATACTATATATACTATATATACTATATATACTATATATACTATATATACTATATATACTATATATACTATATATACTAAATATACTATATATACTATATATACTATATATACTATATATACTATATATACTATATATACTATATATACTATATATACTATATATACTATATATACTATATATATACTATATATACTATATTTACTATATTTACTATATATACTATATATACTATATATACTATATATACTATATATACTATATATACTATATATACTATATATACTATATATACTATATATACTATATATACTATTTATACTATTTATACTATATATACTATATATACTATATATACTATATATACTATATATACTATATATATACTATATATATACTATATATACTATATATACTATATATACTATATATACTATATATACTATATATACTATATATATATATAGTATATATACATCTAAATATTGCAGATTACATATTGTATTACATATATGGACGCCTATTATTATTTTAGTTATTTGTACTCTTGATATATATTATGTATATCTTAACATTGTAGGTGGTATGTATATTATATTGTGATGAGACAACCACATTTTTGGCGGATGAGGGGAACTGCGGGCAGAACGATCAACATGAACTAGGAACATTGGATGGTTCACGACTTGGCTGGATTGTGGTTGCGGACAGACTGAAAGGACAATCAGTCTCCTTCAAAGAGCAACTTTTTTTGGTGGTAAACTTGTGCCCAAGAATCACCAAACATGAAGTTTTGCAACGATTTTGTGTGCCATAGATTTATAGGATACAGCCATGGAGAGCATCGGGAAGGACCTGAAATCGAAGATTTTAAGATTGTGGGCTCCCATAGGCGTTCCCAGATCGAACAGCAAAACCTTTCAACAAAAATACATACTGAACCATCTATGTTGGATAATCATCAATAATCATAAAATGTGACAGAATGTTGAGTGATAGTCAGTGATAGTAAAAAGAAACCCATCACACAATGCATCGATCTACAGGTGGATTGGGTGGGCATGGTGGAGGTCCTGCCTTAGGTGCCGGCTGGGATCATATCGTGATGGGATGATCCTAATCTCATTTGGATCATGGTTTTTTTTCAAGAATTTCATGGGGGTCTATCAGCTATAGTAATAACCAGATAGATTAACATATATCTATGGCCATTTTCCATATTCTAATTTTTGGCTATTGTAATGGCTACTGAGCTATTGAGTTTTCAGCTCTTAGGGTCTTCGAACTCCGAATCATTTGGCTTTGGCCGTCGGCAGGTCCACCCACCTACGACAAAGAGCATGTGCGGGCCGCCAGCGCTCGTTGAGCCGAGGGAAGTGTAGGATTGAGCATCAGCATACACCGGGTAAATTTGAGGGACCATTGACAAAGGAACCATAAATCCCATTGATATCCCATTGATATCCCATTGATATCCCACTATGCCATTTGCTCATCATGTGTGTCCTGTACAACTCCTCATCCTGACAATCCAGGGCTGCTGCCTTCCCGGTCGTCGGATGAATGAGTACGAGATCCTGGAACAACTCTGGAGACCCGTTTTGTCGCTGAATTTGAGCCATGAAAACTGCCAGTGTTGATGGGTGATTGTATGAGGATGGGCAAAAAATGAAGCCCTATGAGACCACAGATTGACATGTTAATTGGTATATCCAAGTTTGACCTGCCACATGAGGGATACCAACCAGTACAATGGGATGAGGCATGGAGGTTTCCGAAAAATCATGGTTTGTTTTCCCCGAACTCATCCAGTCATTGGACCAATTTTAGAGATTTTTAGTATTGAAAAAAACATGTTTTTTTGATACTTTTTGGGTATCCCCAGCATGAAAGCATCCTCGTTTTCATCACAGCCAGGACATCCAAGTGGGTGGCCTGGTGCTGTTGTGTGGGCTTTGGCATCTCGCGCTACAGTGCTCCCTTGGGGGTGGACTTCAATTGCCTCTGTGTGAACACCAGCTGCCAGACGTGCCTTGACCTTGGCTTGGCAGATTTTGCTACGACTCGAAACGGAGAAGTTTTGATGATGTTATGACAATTTGATATACCCTCTGGTAATATAACATAACTATGGAAAATCACCATTTGTTTTTTAGGTAAATCAACTATAAATGGGCGATTTTCAATAGCAAACTGTTAGTCATAACCAGAGGGTAAATCATGGCAAGTTCAAGGGGAACATGATAAGCCATGGAATGGAATGAATGGAAGGTGGTTAGTTCATGTTAGTTCCATGTGGTTCCAATTTTTCAGAAAACTCCGTTTCGGAAGCGCAGAGCCACTATCAGATTATTGCTTCTTAAATACCATCAACATATCCCCAAGATATCATATTATATCATTATCAGGGATATAAATTATATCCCCAATATGGTTGGTAAATCCCCATTATATCCCATTTCATATTTTTTTCCATGGGCCTGAGGACATCTCTACGAGAGCAGCATGGTAGCTGCTGCGGGACATTCACAGAGTCATGGACACCCAGATGGCAACGGAGAATGACAAATGACTCTGACCGTAGTGGTGGAGGACAGGGAGGACAACCCCTAGGATTTTTGTCATGAAGTTTTACGTGGTTTTACCGTTTTATCCCCATTATATATATATATATATTTCTTGGTTGTGCCATGTTGTACTACCAGTTCCCACAGCAGTTCTGTTGCATGGTTGCTCATCTGGCCATTTGAAACCATCCAGTTGATGCCGGTGGATGGGGCCCCGGCCCCGGCCGGTGAACATCATCAGTTTCCGTCCATGATAAACGACCCCGACCCATTTAAGGGACCATTTTGTTGATGATCCTCCCACATTGTTTGTCCAGACCTGGGCAACCTGAATTGCAATCAAAAAATGCGGAAAAGGATTAGGTCAACCAGATGAGCCCTGGATTTTGTCACGGAATTTGGGGGTCTACACATTTTCCGCCACCCCCGTTGAAAGCATCAATTTGGTTTACCATGTTCCATATCCATATATCATCTGGTTGGTGGTTTGGAACATGGCTGGAACATTTTTCCATATTGGGAATTTCATGATCCCAATTGACGAACTCATATTTTTCAGAGGGGTAGGTATACCACCAACCAGTCATATATCTCTTTATATCCACATAATATGTTATAATCCCATCATATAAAGTTTTAAACATATATAATCACTATTATTGGTATTATAACCACTATTATTACGATATATCTCATTATATCCCCCACTTCCCGTATCCCCATAGTCCGAAATTTCGACCCAGCCAGGCTGTGTTGCTGCCGTTGCATGTGCCGTTGGCCGTGCCTCACGGGTGATCCCCGCTGCGTGTGCTGCAGCCTACACCTTTGCGGTGCCCTGGCGTCCGGTGGGGCTTAGAAGTTGAAAGCCTATTCCATCACCATGGGTTACCATGGGTTATTTACCACGGGTTATTTTTCATGGGTTATTTATCATGGATTGTCATGGGTTGTCATGCTTTCCCAAGTCTTGCGCCTTAAAGTCAAGTTGCCATTTTGTCTACTTGGGGCAAGACAATGATTTTCTTAAATGGCCATAGGTCAATAAAAGTGGATGAACCAACCAGCTTGGGCCATTTTCGGATGAACTCATAACTTTTGGAGGTTGATGATTTTGACCAATTTTGACCGGTACCCGCTGCAAAACGTAGAGGTCTTGTGCAAGTTTGAGGGTCATGGAGTCATGCATCATGCACTGATGACTATGACATCGCGGTGAGCCAACGCTGTGCTGAAACATGCCAGTTGGACGGTATTCTGCCCAGCATGGGCAGATATATTTGATACTGCTTGGAGCGGATCCGCACATATTTGGGCCTGTTCTTGCGTCCAAACATACATGCTAACATATTGGTGAAGTATTGGTGGATGTTAGTGGATACATCCCTAACGAACAACAACAGCAACTGAAAACCCGGCGAGAGCAGCTACGACTGCTTTTTAAAAAACCAGTTGAAATGCGACGTGGCTCAAAATGGGCCATTCACAAATATGGAATAGCAATAAAATTGGATATCATGGATCATATCCATGGATAAAATGATAAAATTATGATTCTTGGATGATTCCAATGGTGCTTTTTCATGATCTCGCTTTGAATCATCCAAGAATCTGCCGGAAGCTGAGGCCTAGTGGGGTCCATGGCCAAGGAGCTGCAAAAGGAGGAACATCTGCCCATCGGGCAGAAGCAGTCCCGTGCGGATGCCCAGGATGCCCGTTGCGCTTGTTTTTGCTGATCAAACAATGCACATTTTTTTTTTTGTGGTACAGATGCCTGTATATGTACATATGTATACATATGTATATATAATTATATATATATATGTATATGTATATGTATATATATATACACATATCTATATTTGCTTCTTTGCGGAGCTTGGGATTGTTCAGTGGAAGGTCTTGTGCTCAAGTTTTCAACAATGACTAAATAAACATGGCAACTAGGCAATTCATGCGGTTTCCAACAAAAGATCTGGAATCACTTGTAAGTTATATTTCTGTTGGAGATACCTCGAGCTATATCGATATGTATATTTAAAGTTGGTGGGAAGACACATCATTTTTTTTTTCTTTTGGGGGGTTCCCGGCTGTTTTTGGTTTTCTCTGAGACTCGCCAACGCATTCCCTCGTCCACTTTTGATGGTGATGCTTTTAGACTGGCCATTTCCGTTGGGAAATATCTCATCCCAGAGGTTTATACAATATATATATATATATTTAAAACAATATATATATATACATATGTATATATATATATGAGTACCATAGTAATACAACATATTGACAATATTTGAGAACATATTGACAATATTTGATAACATATGTATATATATATATATACACATATTATATGTACTGTCACCGTGATGGTGGAGCTTCGAACATGCGCCAGGTTTGTGTGCCATTGACGAGAGCTTTTCCAGGGCCACCATACCTTGCTGGTGCTGCTGTTGGGGGACCGGCTTTTCCTTCCCGCGCACTTGCGCGGACACCTACATCAAGTGCATGCAGTGTGAGTGCCCCTTGGGTGCCAAGACGTAGAACAACAGGGGACGATCATCCGCAGTTGGGATTGAACCTATGGTTGATAGACTGAAAGACAAAAACTCCTCCGACCATGCAGAATTTTGGGACCCCTGTGGGATGGCTCGCGAATTCATCCCAAATCAAGGCAAGTACCAACAATCGATACTGGACTCCCCCAAAATGCCATGGCTACTGAATTTTTAGAGCCCCCCAGCCTCCAGCCCAACCTCCCAATGATTTTGTCGCTGCACCAGGTACACCTTCAGCACAAGGATACCATCAATGCAAGCAGGGCTGTGCCGGGAAACCAAGCAGTACTACTGTACAACCGGCAACCCATAGCCTTCTTTTGGAAGGTTATTTTTCGATCTAGAATCTAGAACACAGAAATGGACGTAAATGGTATATTGTCATGTGCTATTGGAAAAGTTCTTTCCACAAACAACTTGAATAGAAGTGGGAAGCAATGATGTTACGGGCCCAGACATGCCAGGGATCGCCGTTTTTGCCCATGTTGGAAGAGCATCATCACTGTGCCTCCAGTAAGGCTTGCATATGGTGAACTGCTGGTGCTGCTATTCCTTAGGCATCTTGGCTTTCGCAGACAGCTGCCGTCTCAAGGTTGAATTCTGCACAACGCCTTGAATATCCTTAAACGGTTTCCCAAACTCAGAAAAAAAACACACAGTGACAAGCTGGTCAGCTGTTCATTTCGTATTGGCCAACCCGAAACTTTCAGATTTTTATATAGCATCTTGGCCACCGGCCATGGATACCCATCAATGATCAACGCCTCACAGCCCACCTTTGGGCGCAGGAAAGTGTCCACCGACCGGCGTTACCTACAACCCGATCTGCGCCTGTTGTGGTTATCGCTGTCGCGACTATATCAACGAGCGGATTCGAAGATGGAGAATGCGACGGAGATTGAACAATCATGGAGGACAAAGGGGGGCACATTGGGAGATCAACAATGGTCAGTATGGTATGGCCCAAGATTTGCCTGTAAATCCAGAGATAGGCAGAGATATGAGATAGGCGATGATAGGCGTATCTTTACTACCGCCAGGTTCCACCAGTAAAAAACATTAAAAACTTACATGGACCTCAAATCAGGGCAAGTCGGCAATAGGAACCGCTCTTCCAAATCCGCCGAGGAGGGATCACCGGTGACCCGCTCCAGTGGATCACTCGTGAAGAATGGCGCGGACAGGTGGATGGACAAATCGAAAGTTGGCCACATCCTGTGGCGGTCGGGACCAGGACCTGAACCGAGCCTGGAACTTGCCTGGACATGTTGGATTTCGGCGGTCAAGATGAGCTACCGGAGCCACGCAATTTAAGACCTAGGTCACTAGGTCATTTCAACAGCATTTCGCGTTGATCATGAGCTGAGCCATGCCCAGCCAGTGAGTGGTGCCCAACCACACGGCTTGAATGGCTTTTATGGATGAACAATAGAAGCGCTAGCAACCGACTGATCGAATTTTGCGCATGACACCCTTTACAAGCAATGGTCAACAAACAAAATCAGGTACCGTGAGAGAATTTCCTGACAGACATGGCCAGATGAGTGACAGCCAGTTTCAGGATTTTAATCACATTGGAGGATGGACATCCACTGATTAGGGATACAGCCATCCCAAGTAAGATTGACAGTAGCTCCGATCTCTACATCGTGATGGCCAAATATGGCAAATGAACGGTCGGTTCCCACCTATTATTTAATACATATTATTAAGTCAATTTAAGTGAACCATATTCGCCATATCGTTTGAAGGCATGCTAGCATGCTTCCCAGCCGAAAGATCTATTTGCTGCGACAGTCCAAGTGGCAAGTTCCAGTGCCAGCTGTATCTGTGTGGCTTCATGGCTGTTGCTGAGGGCACCATGCTGAGGAAATGATTGCCCCGAAAATGACTGGCCAGATTGAGCTGGAGGGACCAAGCTTCTCTTGCCGTCGTTGTCGTTGTGGTTGTGGTGCTATTGGTGCTATTGGTGCTGTTGGTGCTGTTGGTGCTGTTGGTGCTGTTGGTGCTGTTGGTGCTGTTGGTGCTGTTGGTGCTGTTGGTGCTGTTGGTGCTGTTGGTGCTGTTGGTGCTGTTGTTGCTGTTGCTGTTGCTGTGCTGTTGCTGTTGCTGTTGCTGTTGCTGTTGTTGTTGTTGTTGTTGTTGTTGTTACTGTCATCGTCGTTGTCGTTCTTCTTATTGTTATCGGTGTCATTTTCTTATTGCTGCACCCTTGTTATAGCACTTGTTGCTTTTTGTTTGTTGATATTACTTAAGAGGTTGATACATGCAAAGACCACCCATTTCATAACAGTGAAGTCGCCATCTCTTTCGGACCCCTATGATTCAATCGATCATTACCAGGTGGTCTGGGTTGATTACTTTAGGACCTCAGGGGGGGTATTCCCTCAATTCCAAACCAACCCAAATCAAAAGGTCATGTCTGAATGATGTGGTGGTGTGTGAAAATCAGATCCGAAATTCATTGTGTTTTTCAATATATTTTCTCCATTGAATAGTAATTTTCTGATGTATCCCCATTTTCAGACACACCCAAAAACATATCAGATTGGTGAGTTTTACCCCGCTCCATCCCCATTATATATATCCCCATTAAAGAAGATGAACACATCCCATTAAATCCCACACTTTCATGGTTAAATCCCATTTTGGTCGATTGAGTGAAACCATGGTCATAAATTCCTGCAGCTTGGACTCGTACGTCCCAGCGACGCCAGTCTCGTTTTTAAAACTCTCCGGGTGTGGTGATGGAGCCTGTGAACCTCTATAGGGGAATAGCATAATATATCAAAACATCTCCATTATCATAGCCATTATTAGCCATGCTAGTATTATATATTATATGTATATAGATATAGATATATAGCCATGATATAGCCATGATAATTAATCATAGGTATATCATAGCCACTATCCAGTATTAGCTCTATAATCCATTATTGGCCAATCTCCGCCATTAGATTATACCATATTATACCCATCATATACCGAATCATAAAATTGTGGTAAAACCCAAATCCCATCACCATGGGCTTGGTTGTTAAACCGTCCCGAAACGGTCGATTTATTGTTGGTAACACCACATAACAAATGGTGTATAATGGATATACCCTCTGGCTATTTAACATAGCTATGGAAAATGGTCCATTTATAGATGATTTTCCCATTAAAACCTCAGTTGATGAGGGATTTTCCATGGCTATGTTAGTCATAACCAGATAGTACTCCAGCGGATTAATGAGCTAATAATGGATAGTGGCCAGACAAACGGATCACTTGCGCCGAGACTGACATAAGCACTTTAGGAACATCTTACTCTGAAATAATTCAAGCATTTACGGTCTAATTTTTGGGGACTTGGGGGGGACTTGGGGACTAGGTGGGGCTTGGGAAGGACATGGGGGCATGTAGCTACAGAATGCACTCATGCAACACTCCCCTATACAAAGATACAGCCATTTAGGGTTTACTTTTAGGGGACTTGGGGAAATGGAACTTCACCCCCCAAAATATAAAAATATGGTATTTCATAGGTTTTGATGCATAGCCATATCCTGGTGAAAATTCCTATTGAAACCATTGAAACCATTCACAAAAACCAAAAGCTTTCTGTTGCTACAGCATATGCTCAAGGCTCCCATAACCAGCTTGTACAGATGCCACCGGGAAACTCTGGTGAACAGGGTTCGCTCAGCGTCCCCAACGTTCTGCATGCAAATTCATCCTGGGCGTGTCTCACTGACAGGATACAAGTGGAATTGCCCCCTCTTGAATCATGTAAACACACCACTTCTTCTGAGGTGGTTAAAATGCTCGAGTTCATTGCCCGAGTCTCCAAATCGAGAACCAGAATGGTTATTTGTCTGTTCTTGTTGCTTGCGGTATCTCCAAGCCATCTGAGTTTTGTTCCTTCCGGTATACATCTACAATTTCAGCATACGAGAACCTACCCTGTTGTGCACTGGCATAAAGGTTTCCGTATGAAGCAGACCAGCTGTATTTTCAATATGTTGGTCTACTCCAGGCCATATAACCAATTCTCGTCAGGTCGACCAACTGCATTTTTGGACTGATTTTGGACTCCCCAGTTTTGTTGGTTGTCGACTCCCCGTTTTGGTCGGATTCTTGAATTTCGAGGTTGATTGATCACTGTAACTCCACACTGTAACTCCACACTTTACTATCTTTTACTTCTCACAAGTTGCCATGCCCAGCAGCTGCAACTCACAAGTTCAGTTCTTGGCAGCTCAGCTCGGTCGCGCAGCCCCTCAAGGGGAGAGCCCCAGCGCGATGATGTGACAGAAAGTGCAGAGGGAAACCCCAACTTTTTTTGTGAGTCATGGCAGTCATTTTTTTCATGTGGGTAAAACAATGCCAGTAATAGTGACTAATAGTCAATAGTGATTATAATAGTGATTAATAGCGATTAAGAGTGGTCAATATCGATTAATACCTGATCAATGTGGTAAAGCAATGCCGTTTGCACCATCCCCCAGCCATCACCATGAATAGATAGGTGGTATGGTGCCCCCATTCCCAGTCATGGGTGGTTTATGGCATTTTTTACCCACATTAGATCAAAATCCACTGCATCCCCACATGCTGAGTCAACCATTCCTACCACCGCTTTCTCGAGCGGCTCCTCTTTATCTTGTCACCTCTTTTTCTTGTTAACTCTTTCTCTTGACGTCCCTTTCTCTTGACATCTCTTTCTCCTTGCATCTCTTCTCTTCTCCACTCTTCTCTTCTCAGCTCTTGACCCCTCTGTGTTTCTTTGTATTTCTTTGTATTTCTTCAATCTCTGCAGCGCAGAAATTTCTCTAAGCTTGCTTTGACAATGAAGAAATTGAACAAATACACAAAGAAGTTGTGGAAAGGGTGAATATCGAGCATCCAAGGCATGGCCACATGCTCCAACATCCTCCATCACCTCGCTTCATCTGGTGGGTCCCATGGCAGGGATTCACCACAGGTCCCATCGCTGGTGGCGATGTGTAAACTCAAGCCTCTTATTTACCTTTCGTGTTTGGTGATGTTCTTGCCATGAATCACGAATTGGACCCCTCTATTTTATCTATTTTCCCATTTGCCAGGTTTCTGGAAACTTTGCTTGCTTGACCCAGCTTTCTGCTCTTATGTGTTGGTGGCTTGAAGCAGAGATTTCTGCTCAGTAGACATCACAGCTTGCAACCAAACATGAGTAACTCAGACTTTCCAAATTCAAAGAATGCATGCACAGTGCCAGAACTTGAAAATCAGACATCCAGCCAACATTATCAACTTTCAACCAGTTTCATCTACTAATTCATCTATAAATCGCCATTAAATCGCCATTAAAACAGGGCTATCCTCGGCCATGCAGGGCAGTGCCAGCGCTCCGACGCTGCCACTGGTGCCCCCACAGGTGCGCGCAGCGCAGCAGCGGGGACTCAAAGAGGCGGCGAAGCGAAAGGAGTTCCTCGGGGGGTTGATCAACCAGGACCGCAACGGACCCTTGGGTCGGCAATTTTTTTTGGAGTCTGTGGATAGGAAAAAAATAGTGTAATTGTAGGTATATTATGTATGTATATATATAATATACATATATATATACACACTATATATATATACACACACTATATATATATATATACACTATATATATATATGTATGCTATATACATACCACAAGAATTGGGTGTATGTATAGATGTTTCTTCATACCCAAGTGATCATGCTGGATTCGGAGCGCCATGTCGCAGGTTCAAACCATAACTCCGGTGTAGCCCCCATTGGAATTGGGATCGATTGGGTCCTTCAGAACATGCGAGTTCACGAAGCTTCCGCCTTGGGAGTGTTTCACCATGTCGCTGCTGTCATGAGAAAGCCAAGTTTCAAGTACTTCTGTGCATGTCATCAAACAATCAATTTGGTGTAACAAACCAACCTGACCGGTCGTTTTTTTCCCAGCCCTTGCGCGGCAGATCGCGGCAGGACTTGAAAAAGTTGACGCAATGGCATGGCATGCGGCCAGCGCATGAGCAGAAACGTTTCTTGCGAAACTCGATGTGCACTTGCTGAGCACCAAACCCAAAATGCGGAGAATGGTTGGTCAGTCAATGCCTATGCTTGTCTAAATGAATGAGGTGATGAATTTCTAGAACTGCCAGCTGTTTTATCTTGGGAACCAGCGTTGCAGAGTTTTGATCCATAGTCTCGCTGAACAATGAGCTTACCTGTACGACTGCATAGCTAGTAAGATTTAGCCAGTGGGTTGTGCCAATCTCAAGATTTCTAGACGGGCTACCAACATCTACCAACATCTACCAACCCGAAAAAAGCAACTTTTCGGTTTTCGCCCACCCGAAGCAGCCCTTGTCCCCAGTCACTGCCGCGATCAGGAAGCCTGGATTGTCTGTACAAGGCCTACGACGCGGCTTCTGAACCCAAGGTGGCTGGTAGCGACTGGGTCTTGGGATCTCCCAGTGGAA